CGCTCTTCCTACTCACCTTCTCTTTTTGTAGCCCTTTTAAACTGCAGCAACAGGTTGAGAAGAACTGACAGTATGGGATATATGCAAGACCTGTGTACCTGTGCACCTGCAAAGAGGTGTGGGACTTACCCTGCAGATACTGCCAAAGGGGGAAAAAATCTTGAGACTATGCATCTCAAGCAGTCAAGCATGAAAATGGATGGTCTATACTGAACTGTAATTTTTGGGAAATAGTTGTCTTATCCGAGACTTCCTGGCTACTGGGAACCTCGAGGGTATGACCTGAATAAGTTAAAATAAGTAGAGGATTTCTTTGCTTCAGATAGCTTTTTAACTCTTTCACAGACTCTTGCAAAAGGATAAGCTACAGAGCATTGAAAATAGGAACTGCAGGACAGTTTATGTTGAAACTCGATCTGCCTAAATAGCTGGTAGTCCAAATCCATTAATATTTGCTTGTTTAAGTCACTTTTAACATCAGATTTTAGTGAGTTGGAGGTCATCTCTGAAGATCCAGTGGCACCAGTCAGAGTCTAGGAGTCTGGCTCTCCGATGTGGATTTCTCACATTTAGAAGGCGTGAGGCCTTTCCTTAGCACTCGACACTCATAGCATGTTTTAGTTCAATTCATGCTGATGTAAGGAAACGACGAGTTTCTTGATTAGGGTTGAGCCGTAGGGTTAAGCCCTAGGTTTGAGGGGGAAGGAATCATCTAAAAAGATGCATATAAGAAAACATGACCTTGGCTATTCTCATACGAGTCCATCTATATGTTTGATCTGTTTCTTGCTGGTGATGTAACTATTTTGGCTGCAAAATGCGCCTGTTAGGGAGTTTGTTTCTATGGCATATGCTCATTGACAATCCTAATAATTTTGCTTTGTCTGTTCAGTCCTATCTTCCAAACATATACCAAGCTCCTCAAAACCCCAGAGTGCCCTGGTTGTGTTGCCCAGTTGGAATGGGATGCCCCTAATGAGGCTGAGGAAGCTAATCTATTATGTTGGCAAAATTAAGCAGAAAAAGACAGTGTTACTACTTTTGAGATAAACCTAAGTGTAGCAAATATGTGGCAATATGTAAAATGCAGCAGACGAGATGAAAAGGGACTTTAGATAATACGGTGTAATTCTCAGCTTTGCCACCTGACAGGCTTTAGATAGGTTGCTGCCCCCCACACCCAGCCTTAGGTTAAATTCTCGATATGCTGCTGTAATGCAGCTAATAAATATGTGAACTGTGAGAGTCACAAAAGTAAAGAAAGAAGCTCTTACTGCCACTTTTGAACTCTGGCAACATAGTTATTCAGTAACTGTATGCATCAGTTTAGTTTCAGGTAACTTTTCAGTGTGCCCTTTAAAAGGCAGGAAAATGTAATGTTTGTGTAACGTAGTTTCTGTATTTGAGAGCTGTATTGTAAATTGAAGTTCTTTTTAGATCTCCAGAATACCAGTTTACAAGAGGAAGAGCAAAGAGATCTGACTGCAAAAACTGATGGACCATTACGTCTTCCGAAAATGAGCCAATTCACACTTTTCTTCTGGAAACTAAAATGTCTTGAAGGTGAGTAGGTTTTGTTTGTCTGTGACAGATGAGCTTTTCAATGCCTTGGACCTTGACTATAAGTCTTCCTAAAGATCAGTCTGCTCTCATTTTGGCTTAGTGCACACCTGTGCCCTTTTGGGATGGCACAGCCCATAGAAACGTACTTACGAATCTATGCATTTTGTCATTGGAAGAAATATCTAGCAAGTAGGTATGTTTTCTGCCATATCAATTAATTATATTTAATTTGGAAGCCTTTGAGAAAGCTTGAGTACTTAGTCAAAGAGTTGAACCATTTGGATTTTTTTTTTTTTAGTTTTTTTTAAGTTTGTTAAATAGACTTTTGCTTAGTTTAGTGAATATATTTAATTAAGCAAGTCATTCTGAAGTTCTGTTCCAGCAGTATCTCAAGTGGTATTATCACTGCTTGGAGAAGCTGAGGACGAGTGCATGCTGTCAAAGACGATAAATCAGTTTCTCCAAAGTACAGAACATGCTTGAGTGAAGTTTAATCAAAATAATGTTTTGTGGAGTTTGTGTTATCTTCTATGTTATCTTTGTACTCAGCCCCTTAGGGCTGTAGACGGTGACTGTACACTATTCTTTTATAAAATCCTTTAGCTCTAATAACAGAAATCAAAATGGGAAATGCCATGTAAGTTCTGCTCCTATTATTGAAATAAAAGTAAAGGGTTTTTGAGACAAACAGTTACAATTTAAAACATCTTATTTTAGACTTTACTGGTGCTTTAGTAAGTAACAAATAAATGCTATTAGCCTATGTGAGCCTAAATCTGCTTGATTAGTAACATTAATTCTGATTTTAATTAGGCTACTTCCTCCTTTATAATACTCTTGGCTGGTGAATTTGCTTTTCCATTAGTTACTTTATATTAAAAAAAGAAAAGTAATTATCAGTAAACAACATAACGCCTATGAATTCAAAGCTAATAGTGGAGTGTAAATTGTGAAAAAGGTGTCATTCTGTCTACACGTAAGTTATTTTAGTGTGTCCAGCGCTGGAACCATGGGCCTCTGGTGCGCAAATACTTTTCAGTGTGAGAAGCAGGCCTGGTAGAAATTTAACCTACGCTGAAGTCAGTTTTCCTGCGTTTTTGCAGACTTGAAGCTCAATATCTCGTTATCTTTGCGAGTTTAAGTCTTTTTATATACGGTAGTGGTGGTGAACATCTCTCAGAAGTCGACAGAGATAGCAGAGGAGGCAGTGTTGGGGGGAGGCTTACTAGTCAAGAAAGAAAAGACTCATTGTGGCTGGCGAGAGGGATACTGTTTACATCATCTGCGTTATTTGCTCTTTTGCTCTCTGCTATGAGCTGTATGGTTCTGAATAAAGGGATGGGAAACTGAATCCCCAAACCAAAAAGTGTTGCTCAGTTCCAGAAAGCTTCTCTTATATTGACTGATTGCCTGTATTTTATGAGAGTCCTGTTCATGTTCAGTGAGATGAATCGTGGGATGTTTTGGGAACATGTATGGGTTAATTCATTCCTATGTTAGAACCATAGGAATGTTGTGTGAAAATTTGTCCTAGCTGAAAGTAATTTGCAGTACTGGGCCCCTGTTTCACCTTCACTAATTGTGTGTTGCAAAGAACATTCCCCCCAGCTGTGTGTGTGTGTGGGGGGAAGGTAGTATCTGAGTGCTCGAAAGTACAAACCAAGGACAACTGAGTGAGTATCTTTTTGTGTCAGCTTTGACAACTGGATGCTGCATTTCTCTATGTAGTTAGATGCTGAGGACTCCTGAAAGACCTTAAATAGGTAGTCAGTATTGATGTTTCAAACTTTCTACTTGAAAATATGAAAGGTAATCTAATGTTACAGGAAAAATTGTACGTTTTTTAAGGTCTGTGAATGACTTGAGTGTTTTCCATGTATAATTCACATTTTTGCTGTACTGTGTTTACAGTCAAAGCATTCAAAACACTTGTAGTGGAACTTGTAGTGCCCTAGTTTCTTTCCACATTATGCATTCTTTATATGTAAGGAGGTTGTGAATGGTTCCATATCTGCATAATGATTTTCAGTTATTTTGGGAGAAAGGATCTTTTAAGAATCAGTCTATGACTTCTGTACCAGTTACAGTCTGTATATTAATCTCTAATACTAAAAAGTTCTTTCTGTGACGTTTGAGTGGTTGCAATAGTCAATTTTTACACCAGATGCTGTTTATGTCTGGATGAAGGATGTTTTGAAGGTAGAGATGTCATCTGTGAATCCCTTTGCAAGAAAAGCTGGAGAACTAGGGAATCTCGTTTGGAAATGTTTATTCTGATGTAGTTTGTCCTTTCCTACTGATATGGATCAATAGAAATAGCTCTTCTTCCTTTTACTCTCTCTCCTTTCTTCTGCTTTCACATCTTTTCCTGTGAAAACTGCAAGTTTCATCTGTGGAGAAAGATTGTGTGACAGGGTGAAGGCAGACTGAGCGTGAAAGGAGGATATTTTTCTTGTGATAAGGCTTCTTTAGTCTCAATGGTCAGGAATTGCTGAGCTCCCACTCCTTTCTCAAGCTCTGCTGTCACCCAGTCAGTCACTGGTCAGCAAGCCTGGATGGATGGATCCTCCTCTGTACGAGGCATTAAGTAAATACCAGGTAGTACTGATGTTCCTGATACTGTCTGCCTCAAGTACTTGCTCCTGTTGGCTTATCAAGTTCTTTCCTGCTGTCAAAACCCCGGCTGTTTTTCTCAGCACAGGACCTTCTTGCTGTTTGCAGTGGTAGAGAGTAGACCTCCACTGGAGCTAATAGCTGTTCCTACCTTGTTAGAGCGTATTTTGAACAGTTGCTGGAAAAAACTTGGAGGTATTTTCAGCAAAACAGTACTGGTTCTTGCATAAAGCCTCTTCTTGATCCCAGACAGCATTGTGGTTTGCCAGGTGACCTGCAAACCAGGTGTGGTCTGTGCTCTGGTCTCCTCCCTTCTGCAGGACAGGGCACCAGTGGACATGCTGCTCTTGTCTCCTTTGGAAACACCAGAGTACACTGCGCTTTGAGCTGTTACTAGAGCAGGAGGTGGTCAGAGCTCTTTACTGCCTTGCTGCCATTAAGGGCAGCTGGCTGCTGCATGTAGGGTTTTAGGATCGGAGATGTGCGAGTTGCACTCCTCAGGCAGCTGCTGTGGCCAAGGGATGGCTGAGTGATGGTATGCTGCTGTCTAGTAGTTGATGAGATTTGCAGCTCATGTAGGGGGACTGAGCACTTCAAATATTCCTGCTCACAAGGAAGCTCTGCTGAGGATGGACTAATGCACGTTATCTACTGGCAAGCGTAAGTACCCTGAGACTGGCTTCCAGCACACAAACATTTAGATATTGGTTTACCACTAGGTTATTGTTGAGGCTGTGGATTTGTGTCTGTTTTTAATATGAGTAAGACTCTAACAGATTTGTATCCTAAGCATAAGACCTTGGATAGGGAGAGTGGTCCCTGTTAGCCTTTCACCTTTGCCTATCCATCCCTAATATGTCAGCAACCTTGGCCTTATACTTGAAAATGCCTCAACATTCCTGGAGTAAATTTCTCCTCTTCTGTTTCAGAAGAAGAATTTGCCACCAGTTTAACCAGAATCTCTGACTAAATATAGGCAGTTTGGACCTTGGGCAAAAATTCAGGGACTGGAGACTGTCCAGTGAGAATCAGTTGACGAGAATCAGTTGGCATCGTTGCCACCTCTGGGTGAGGGAATGTTGTCAGTGCTGGATGACTATGAGATGATTTGGGGAGAGCTTTCCATTAGAGACTAAACTTGTGAAGGAAAACTACATCAACTTTTAGATGTTCCTTTGCTGCTACTGGTATTTTCTCTGGGGCATTGGTTATCCCCTTCTGCCAAGGGACTCTCTTCCTACCATCTCCGGAGATGCTTAAAGAAGTCCAACTGATTAGGAGGATATTTTTTCTTTTTTTTCCCCCCCCTCAAAGACTTACCTTTTTAAGGCAAAGAAATTGGCACACGTGATGCTGAGATCTGAAGGATTTTATATTATAAGTTGAAAGTGCAATAGCAGCAATTCAGCTGTAGTACTAATAGTGTAAGCAGCCTAGGACATAACAGGAAGCTTCCTAGAAAGTCAGTCAGACTCATCCCCATGTTGAATTGATAGTTTTGGCAAGGTTATTGCAGTGAATTTTACAGCTTGCTTGGTAGACATATATAAGCTTTTTGGCTCTTTCATTTGCTGTGTTGGAAACCGTTTGTCTTGCTTCAACCAGTGAAATATTACCACTATGGACTGATAAGATTCATTTAATGGCAAAGGAAGCTGTCTTATCAATATCAGTGTAAGGCTTGCTGTCCATACAAATGTTTTATGCAGCCGCTTCACTTTAAATGGCTTTCTGTGAACAAACCTTTGGGAATCCCTGCTCTGGTACCTCACTGTGCCAGGAGGAGTCTGCAGCCCAGATGAGTTAGAGAATGGGTGTCTGCATGCCTCACTCTCTAGGCTGCAGCATGCCTTTCTTCTATTAAGATCTGCTATTAAGAAAATCAGTTTTGGTAAGCAGCAAACATTAAGCTGTCATTTAGTTAAGGCAATAAACTGTAAAAACCTCGTAACACGCAGGAGGAGAAAAAGGAGGTATCACTTCAGATAATTGTTGTTGTTTCCAACTTCCTGAGTGTAATAATTTTATTTTTATGGTATATTTTTCCTAAATCTTAAGTATTTTTACATTAAGTGGATAAATTAAAAAAAAATTGGTTACATGATGATCATGTGTTAGGGTTAGATACATGAGAATAAGAGGTACAGGGTACAGAGGTACACTCATTGTATACTTGCCAGCTAACATTATTTAAGTGTCTGCGTGATATCTCATCAAATAAGATGATATTGTTTCTCAAGCACACTACACTTGCCATGTTGAAACAGATTAACATTTCTATTACACTTACATGCTTGCTCAGCAGGTCCAAGTAAAGGATAAGTTTAATATGACTGTTAAGGCCCTCAATAAACTTATACTTTTTGTTTGTTTAGCACCTAACTTGA